TTTCCCGTTCAACTCAGCATATCAAGATTCAGGAAACGGATTCTGGTACTATCCAAAGAGTTTTTCAACATAAACTCGTCCGAAATAAGTTGGTGGCGCCTTTTTATATATTATTTTTGTTCTTCAAACTCACCCTATACCAGCTGGGTACTGAGCAACCCTTTAGCGCGTACTATAGGACATCCGTTTACTCACTTCGTTGAAGTGGGCACGTGGAAAAGCCCTAGACAAAAAAATCCATTGAATATCCAACAACATTCTAATCTGATCAGATAATCATTATGAGCGTATTGTGACATTCAAAAACAGACAACAGAATAATCTGCCACAGATATATTAGAATTTGAATTTTCACATTGTGGTTATTTAATCTAAACTGTGCGAGCAATTAATTTGATGCCAGATAATCAATGCATCTTGCATAACTTTTCAGTCATGATATGGACATGAGCTATGAACACATTTTCGAGACTAGGTAGGTATAATTCGAAGGAAAATCAATTATTAGTTACACTGACGATACCCCCAGGTAGCACAGTTGACCTTAGAGACTTCTTTATGACGTCAATTTCAGGACCATATTGGTCAGAGACGTCTTGTGACCAATATGGAACGTTAAAATGACGTCGATTCTCATGAAGTCAATTCAACGTGATTCAAATAGCCGTGATAATTACGTGAAAAGTCTTTTCAAAAAACGACGTCTATATAGTGACGTCTAGTTGACATACTTTTGACGTCATTATTGTTCACCATGAACTAAATATCTCAATTATTCTCAGAATATATTCAATTTGAATATCGCGGCAATAGCGATACAGCCGGATAAGTACATATGTGGCTCGTTTTCAGCTTGGTTCCATTCTTGTTGCCATTGCTGTATTGTCATCTCATTTAAATGCTGTTTAACATTTGTCCAATATCTAAAATTTTGGACATTCAAATCTCGACCTAAAAAGTTGGTAATTCCTCTATTTTTGAGTTCAGCTGTGGAATATAGTAATTGTAGTTCTAGATGTATAGGATTAATCTTTGCGATCACACACAAGGTCTCGTTTGGAGTGGTTACATAAGCTCCTGTTATGCTTCTCGAGCATAAAGCTTGAAATCATCTTAATTTATTCTGAACTCCCTTCTGATTAATCTTATTCATCCAAAACCTCACTCCATAACTTGATATTGGAATTATTGCTCTCGAGTATATCATACTCAGAGATCCTGCCAATTTTTTCCAGTTAATATACATATACTTTCCTAGTGTTTGGAATATATTCCGGCATTTATTTATAATATAGTCGATATGTTCTGCAAAACTTAGTTTTTCATCTATTATCATTCCCAGGTATTTATGACTTCTACTCCTACTAATAGGGAGGCCATCTAACCTAATTGCTCGATTTCTATTATGTGATAATCCTGGAAATATTAAGTATTTTGTCTTGTTTCTAGAAATCTCAAGTTTTTGACTTTTTGTCCAGTTGTTCAATATATGCAAGCACTGATTAGCCTTGTTTTCTAGAATCGCTCTATTATTAGCATTTATGCATATCGCTATGTCATCCGCATAAGCAGTTACTGAGACATCATCGGGCCAGTTGCTTCTGAGCAAGGGCTCCATAGTAATATTCCATAAAAAGGGGCCCAAGGCAGAACCTTGTGGGCATCCTTTTGTTAGATTCTTCTTTATTTCAGTATATTTGAGACCATATTCCACTACTCTATTTGTCAGGTAACATTTGATAATTCCGACGACTTTTGACGACCATCCTTGATTATGTAGATATTCCAAGACTTTTGGCCACCACATGTTGTCAAACGCTCCTGGAATATCTATGAATATTGTCATTTGATGAGTACTTGGTCTCCTTACAAATTCAGTCACCTCATTTATGGTATTGATTGTGTTCCTCCTAGGTATAAATCCATGTTGATTTCGACTAAAAATTTCATCTCTGTTATGTATCCTACAAATTGCATTTATTAGTGATCTTTCTAGCATTTTACCCAATTCAGAAAGAAGGGAGATTGGCCTCAATGACTTCGGATCTGTAAGATCCCTGTCAGAAGATTTCAAAATTGTGACAACTCTTCCTTTTTTTCATGAAATAGGAAAATATTTGAATATAATGCGATTTTTGAACAGATTCAAATTATCATTAATTTCCCCAAACGCTAATGCTAAAATCTTTCCATGTATACCGTCAGGACCAGGAGACTTATAAGCTTTTATTGCAAAAAGGGCGTTCAGTATGTCTTCTTCTATGATTTCAAATTCTACCAAGGGTTCTCCAATAAATAAATCAATTCTTTCTCTTGTTTCAATATTAATTTTCAAATCTGTTGCGGGTTAGTCGTCCGGCATTAACTTATTTATTATTGCCCCAATGGTATCTTCATGATCTATAGTCATCTGTGGCATCTCTAACTGTAGAGCTAGCTGTTTTTAACCTTATTTTATCAGCTGCCAGCTTATAAATAGTTCCCTTGGGATTTATACCCAGGTCTTCCTCCTCAAAGGACCCAGCACAAAACCATAAGGAATTGGCCCACAGTGGGATTTGCCTGAAATTCGCCTATGTTATTGGTATGGAGTTTCTAATCAAATGTCTTCATGTGACCTATCCTCTAAGACCAAAGATTTAGCTCTCAGGCCCGTATTTAGTATAAGTGCCAAATAAACAATGACACTTTTTTTTTTCAAGCCCATGATGTTTGTATCTCCCATTATAATTTAATTGAATGAAAAATGTTGCAAAATCTTGGCATTTGTCTTTTAGCACAAGTCCTCTGTAAAACATGCCTTGTCCTACAGGACCGTATTTAGTAAAACTGTATTTGCCAAAGTGCCGAATCGAATTGATTTTGTTATTACTTTCTTATTTCTTGTCCTATTCCAGTGGTTGTTTGATAGGTGAATGTAGATTTCTTTGTGCACATAATAAAAGTGGTCACCATCTCAATATTCAAGATGGTCGGCCTAACATTTAATCTTTATGTAGGACATATCTCGTAGCTTTTTAGGAATCATATAACAGGAAAAGATAAGAACACGTTTCGATTGTTGAAATCGGTCATTTACTTTTTCAATTACCTAACACTATAATATAAATATAACTCTACTATCTGATTGAAACTTCATCTAATTCATTACTAACAAAGTTGACACCGATATTTCTTGAATATTAAGATGGTGACCACTTTTGTTATGTACACAAAGAAATCTACATTCATCTTTCAAACGACCACTGAAATAGGACAAGAAATAAGAAAGTAATAACACTTTGGCAAATACAGTTGTACTACATACGGTCCTGTAGGACAAGGCATGTTTTACAGAGGACTTGTGCTAAAAGACAAATGCCAAGATTTCGCAACATTCAATCGAATTATAATAGGAGATACAAAAATCATGGGCTTAAGTGTCATTGTTTATTTGGCACCTATATACTAAATACGGCCCTGAGAGCTGAATCTTTGGTCTTAGACGATTGGTCACATGAAAACATTTGATCAGAAACTCTATACCAACAACATATGTGAATTTCAGGAAAATCCCACTGCGGGCCAATTCCCTATGGTTTTGTGCGGGGTCCTTTGCACCAAGTCCGAGTTTTTGATTCCAGTATTTCTTTCTTATAATTTCTCAGAGCCCTTCTATATTCATTCTGACGCCTATCGTACTCATCTTGTGGTACCATCCCTCTGGCTCTTTGATAAATTCTTCTGTTTCTCACTGTGATTCTCTTGAGTTCGGTTGATCTATTAGTCCACCATGGAACCATTCCAGCTGGCTCTCCTTTCTTTTTAGCTGTATTCCTAGTTATGTCCATTAGACCTTCTGATAGGATATCCACATAATTATCGATATCTGCTTTGTTACTAATATTTAGATTATTAAGATTTCCTGCCAGATTTCTAGAAAGTCTTCTGAGTTTGTCCAATTTCAGCACCTTCACTGTATTCATTGCAGTCTTGATCTTGCATTAAATATGGCAAGTCATTGATTTGGAACTCTATTAATCGATGATCACTTTGTACCTCGCCATCCCGTACTGACCAGTTATTTATCCGTCCAGCTAAGTCCAAGGAACTTATAGTGAGGTCTATATTGGAATCACCATTTGCAGTTGAAAATGTGGAAAGGTGACCAGCTCTATTGTGAATACACAAATTATTTATATTTAAAGCTTCTTCTATTAGCCTTCCACGCTCATTCGTCATTCTAGAGTTCCAAACTGTTGACTTCGAATTGAAATCTCCCATAATTATCAGTGATCGATTCGCTCTAGTATTATTCATGTTCGCAACATTTTGCAAAATATGCAATAATATATCCTCTTCTTCCGGTGGGCAATAAATACTTGCTATCAAATAAGCTTGATGATTATTCTTCAACGAAGTTATTACTATATGCTCATTAATCATTCGTGAGAGTTTGACCACTTAAAATTCTTTATTTACTATAATTATAGCGTTATGTTCCATAGTCTATATTGCCAATATAACTTCTAATTATGGCGTTTGTGTCTTTTCTTGATGAACGGAATTATCTCCGATCGCCTCACAGACAGTGTCACTTCTGAGTTGGTGCAAGGCAGACGTGTACAGTGTATATCGTGAAAAGACACTTTTTGAATTGTGTCGTCTTGTTTGATCGGGGTAAGTTTTGAAATGTTTTTCGTTTGCTCATAGAGTGTCATTGTCTTGAATTGTGTCTATTTTTGACGAACGTCTATGTGATATTCCTGAAATTATGTCTAATAAACAGTCGCAATAGAAAATATATCACTTTTATAGCAAGTTACTGGTGCGTTTGCTGGTTTTCTTTCATTTTGTGTCATTTCAGCCGATCAAATTGTATTGGAATGTGCACTCATATTGTATCATTTTGAAATGGTACGGTGTTCGAGAATAATAATTATTGAATTTAATTACTAAAGGAATAACATTATTGTTGGTTTCAGGAAACAATGACTTCGAGGGCTGCATTAATACTCAAAATGTGTGAAGCAGTATCGACAGTGCAAGACAATAAAGAAAATAACATCAACAAGGCAAATACTCAACAAGATTGTAAGTATTAACTTCACTAATCAGGGATATATTATAGGAATAGTAGTAGGTACTCACCCAAGTATATTGTTTCAGATCTTGAGATCTTGAATGATACCAAAAATCCAAGACCAACTGCTTATTCTCCAATTACTCATGATGCAGACCAATCGAATGAGGCGAACACTCAACGAAATTGTAAGTCCCTACCTACCTTCCTACATACCTACCTAGGTGGGGAATTGGGTACATACTATAAAATACTTATTCATATTTCAGGTTCGAAGATCTTGAATGATGCCGACAGTCCGAGACCGAATACTTCTTGTTTACATGAAGTTCGACCAGATGAACCGAATACTGAACAACAACATTGTGAGTACTTACCTATGTAGCCTATTCACCTCGTTATCTACCCATTTGATAACTGCGGCGATTAGGAATTTACTCCCAATTTGGTATATAAAATGGAATACCTAATTATTTATACTATTTTAGGTGCTGAGATCTCAAATGATAGCGTAAATCCGACACCGAGTTCTTCAATTTCTAATAATGAAGAGTCATCTAGGAATGTCAGTTTCGCAGGCCGATCAACTACAAGTCTGATGAGACCTAGAATAACTGTTTTGAACTCATCGGATGAAGATGGCGACTTCGATTCTGATGATTCGGTAAAAGATCCGAATTTCAATACTTCTTCATCATCGTCTTCCTCTTCATCGAGTTCGTTATCGTCCACTTCGAGTTCGTCGTCCGATTCTGAAGATGAGTCGCATCATCCTATAAATGGTGAAACGTCCAACCGTGAAACCCCAATTCCTGAGAATAATATTAACGAAAACCAGGAACGACCAAAAAAAACTCGAAAGCGATCAGCTGAGCCTCAACAGTGGAAACAAAATCAAATTAAGCGTTTAAGAAATTTAGGAATGTCCTACAAAACACGCCATGATAAAACTATCCGTGCCAAAGAATGTCAACCCGCCTGTAATGACAGATGCAGACTGAAATGCAGTTCTTTTATGACTGAGGAGAAACGGAAAGAGTTATTAACACACTATTGGGCTCTGGGTGATATTGAGAAACAAAGACTCTTCATCGACAAGCACATAAAGAAAATTACGGTGAAATACCGATACACGACGACACCTACAGGAAGGGGCAATAACCATGCCTTTTATTTCGAGATTGACGGCAAGTTGAGGCGAATTTGTAAAAAAATGTTCAGGTCAACGCTAGACATTAATGACAGGATTATCAGGACTGTTATTGCTAAAGCTAGGGAGGAAGGTTTCTTAGAAGAAGATATGAGAGGTAAACATCGAAATCATAAAGCCGTAGATACTTCGATAAAGGATGGTGTAAGGGATCATATCCAATCGATTCCGAGAATTGAAAGCCATTATCTAAGACAGCAAACCAGTCGCGAATTCATAAGTGGCGGCAAAACTCTGACTGACTTACATAAGGACTACATGCAGCAATTTCGTGATGCAAATCTTCCTTTTGCTAATCTGGTGATGTATTCTCGAATATTTAACAGTGAGTTCAATCTTGGATTTTTTGTACCCAAAAAAGACCGATGCGAATTATGCGTTGCATTCGAAAATGCGACGGGCGATGATAAAACTAAGTTAGAAACAAAGTTTGAGCAGCATCTAATTGAAAAAAGATTGTCAAGAGAGGAAAAAGGACAGGAAAAGGATAAAGTATCCCAGAACTATATCGTAGCCGTTTACGACTTACAAGCAGTGTTACAGGTCCCACGAGGGGATGTGTCATTGTTTTATTATAAATCAAAATTAAATAATCTCAACTTGACCATCACAAAACTGAGGAAACCTGACGATAATAATTCGAAAAAAAGAGGGACTACAAACGATAGTAATGATAGTACTGATTGTTATTTTTGGCATGAAGGTGAGGGCAACAGAGGATCAGATGAAATAGGAAGTTGCTTGTTAGCCTTTATCGAAAAAGAGACTCAGCGTGAACACACAGAGCCGATAGATTTTGTTTATTTCTCTGACAAATGCTGTGGTCAAAACAAAAATAGATTCATTGTTGCACTTTACATGTTTGCAATAATGAAATTTGCCAATGTAAACTCTATAACTCATAAATTCCTTATTACTGGCCACACGCAAAACGAGGGAGATTCTGTGCATTCTATAATAGAAAAACAAATAAAAAGGTCATTGAAATCTGGTCCTATCTATGTACCTAACCAATATGCTCTGATAATTAGGGATGCCAAAAAGACCGGAAATCCGCTCAAAGTCCATGAGCTTTCACATGAGGACTTCATTTCTTTGAAATGTCTTGCTGATGATATTGGTTTGAAGAGCCTGAAAAGGGTTAAAATAACCGAAATAAAGGTTTTGCAGTTCTCAAAGGATAATCCAACTGTAATGAAATACAAGCTCAGCTATTCGGATGAAAACATCTCAGAAGTCAAGCTTATCACAAGACGATGTGATTCACCACAGTTGAAACCAGCTCATTCCAGCAAACTCAAAATCAAGGACAATAAAAAGGCTGATTTGATTAGCTTAGTAAAGAGTAATCATATTCCTCATTGCCACGCTGACTTTTATTATAATTTGTGAAATTTTTGTTTCCATTAATATTAATACTATTTGTACAGATTACCTTGAGTACCTACAAGCGGATCCATGAAATGATTTTGTTTGAATATTTTAGAAAAAAAAATTATTTGTGAATTCAGCAATGACTGCTGCAGTTCATCGGTTTTGTGAAAATTCAGTTCAAATAGTGTGAATGCAAGTATGAGAAACCATTTTTTTTGTCAATGTTTCTATCATGGATTATTTGATACCAAGTGAGGATGGTTTGTGAGCTTGAAAATTAAATATTTTTGTGTTGATTTGAAACTTTAAGTAACCAATAATTCACAGAATGTGAAAATATCTTTTGAAACATCAGTAGCTTCAATCATTTGTTAGAAGAATCTTTCTGAATAAAGACATAAATCAAAATATCTCCTGACTTTCCTTTCTGGAAACCGTCATAACCCTGAATTTTGAAAGATTTTTCCAAAAATTTTCCTATTTTGATACTTGGAAAAAATTCGTCATTGAATAGCAAATTAATTATATAATCACCAGTTTACCAAAATACCCACCCGTTTCTGAGATATAACAAGAAATGTAAAACCATATAGGTCATTCAATTTTGTTTTACGTCTCCTGAAATTTACGGAATTTGGAGTTGTGACAGTCTTTTAGCGGGGGTGCGATATATTGTGAAGCACACAGCAAGCAATCACATACTTGGAGATCCAAACTAGACGGCGTACATCCAATAAATCTTTCAAAGTCCTGAATCTTTTTTGTAATAAGCAAGAGACTCTTTCGATTGTACTCCTAGTTCTTGACAATAAGAAGTTGAATTGTCTATGCGGAACACTAAGATGGTCATTATCCTTACATTATCAAATATCAGTTGAGGTAGGCAGTGATAAGCTTCATCACCTAGCAGGTAACTTCAGTACGTTTCAATACTGTAGCATCATGGTTTGAACCAACTTCTCCTGCATAAACATGTATGAATTTTAGGTGGTGGTCACATATTCCCTAAAACAAAATTAATTGATTATGTATAAGGAAAATAACAAAATGATGTAAAAACTTCGCAAATGATTAGATTTTCACAAAATTCTTGAACACACAACATGTTTCGCTAACACAGTAGCTTCGTCAGGTGATACACTGGTACAATGAACTAAACCAACGTTGGCTTGCTTAACTTTTATATATCCTACTTTCCCAACTTGAAGGATTAGTTACCTGTGGACAGGATCGATAAACCTCCATTTTCGAAAATTAAGCACGATATCTACATTCAATTACGGTATACCGGATTGACTTGAAAAGGTTGATAGCAGATAAATATTATTACCTACTAAGAAATCAGATTCAACAGTGGTGAACTATTGAGGTATAATAGATCGTTAGGTAAAATGTCAAAATTTTTGAGTTTAATGATTTCTATTGATTCAAAATGATTGTGTTTCATTCCTTCCTTTTCTACATGTAGAATTTCGATATTATCGTCAAAACTATGTTTTTCTTATAATATATGGTTGGCGTATGTTGAATTTGTTTTCTTTTTCAAAAAATTCATATTATGTTCAAGAATGCGCTGATTAAACGTACGTCCTGTCTGACCGATATAAACCTTAGGACAAGATCCACAGTTAAGTTTGTATACTCTTTCTGAAAAACTTCATAATAAAGCTATTTAAGAAGTCTATTCTACCATCAAGAATAATAATCAAAATAATAGAACTTTTTCTGTAGTAGTCATCAAGAGAGAAAAACTCAAAGTCGTCTCCACAATTTTTAATGTATAATAAGGCAGTCAATCCTGCTTCAATAAGGTTGAAAGTTGATACATGTTTCGGCCATTCAAATGGCCATGTTCAGTCAAATTAGCAAAGTGTATCTACAATAGAAACCAAATATGATTTTATATATAAGAAGAAATTGAAATAGAAAAGACAACAGTTGTAAATTCAAATTGAATAGATCAAAAAATTTCAGTAAGATAAAAGAGCAACAGTGATTTTTTTAAGTATAACAATGATAATTGATCAGTAATTGATGGTAAAAAGTGAAAAACAAAAATTTTTTGTTTTGTTTTATCAAATCAAAAATTCTGAAAACAAAATGGAGAACCATAGATAAGAAGGTTGTACTTACGTGGAAATTACTTCAAAGCATCGTGAAGGCGAAAAAATTATTACTAAACCATAATTTATTATTTGTTTTATTTATTGTAAATAGAGTGAAGTAAGAGGAATTGGGAGGAGCCCAATCCTCCAAGAAGAAAGTTAAATTCTTCATGGGTCGATGAATAAGCTCTGCGTTACTTGATCATTATTGAAACAATGGAAGGCCAAAATGCTGTCAAAAATGAAAATAGAACCTGTTGAAGAGTGTTGTATAATCAACTTCTAGGTTTAGGTTCTATCTTCTATCTTTGTATTTAAACGTCAACAGTGATTCTGTCATATGTTGTCATATTATGTTGTACTGTGATTTGGCACTTGACGTGGACGTTGAAAGATAAAAGGAGTGAGCCAACAAGATGAGATGGCGGATATAGAACACGCTACATAAAATGTAAAAAGATGAAAGGAAATTAAAAACAATTATTATAAACCAATAGATATTGTATTATAATACTATAAAATATAAAGATACAAACAGGAAAGATGAAACATGGTGTCAGGTTGTGTGCTGAAAAGACTTGGATTGGTGAAGAACAAGTGATGACCCTTAGAATGAAGAGGTTAGTGGACAAACTAATCCCCTCCTAAAACTTCGATCCTGAAAAATTAGAATTACCAGCGTCTGAGATTAATACCATCAACTACAGAAATGGAATATTTCAAGCCTCCAGAATCATTTGATGTCAATGAGCCTCAAGGTTGGCCAAAATGGAAGCAAAAATTCGACATTTTTTCATTAGCTAGAAAAAGTGAATCAGAGAAGAAAATAAAAATAGCCTTATTGCTAAATATCCTAGGAGAAAACTGTTTAGATATCTACAACACATTCAGTGAAGACAAAGTAAGAAAACTTGAAGATGTAATATCTTGTTTTGATGATCTCTTTTTACCCAAACAAAATATTTGCATGGAAACCTTTAAATTAAACAATATCCAGCAAAAAGAAGGGCAAAATGTAGATTCATTCTTAACAGAACTGAAGAAGCAAGCTGCAAACTGTGCCTTTATTTGTCAAAAAGACAATTGCAAGCAGAGTTATGCAGACAGAATGATCAAGGACAGAATGGTATTAGGTATACTTGATAAGCAAGTACAGAGACATATTTTACGTGAGACCAGTATGACCCTGGATAAAATGCGAGACTATTGTAGAAGTATATAGGTCACAATGAAGCATGTAAAATTATTGAATCCGAAAGATGATTCTGAAGAAGTCAATGCTGTAAGATACACTAAATACTCCAAAAACTGTTCAAGATGTGATACAAAACATGAACCACGAAAATGTCCTGCTTTCAACCAAACTTGTGGGATTTGTCGAAGAAAAGGTCATTTTCTAAGTGTCTGCTTTTTCAAGGATGAACAAAATGAACCTGGAAGCACATCAAGCTATAGATCTACCTCGAGATCTACCCAGGATGAGGAAAAATATGAAGAAGAAGACAAAAATACAGGAAAGCAGACTTCAGAGTTGCAAACTGAAAATGAAGAGAATAATGTGCAGGTACAGGAAACATAAAATATGGCAATGACAAATGATGTGAGTGGTACAAAAAATGTAACTAATACTGAGGATTCAATTTTCATTTTTGAACAAAAACAGGACAGTAATAAAATGAGTTGGTATGAAACTATTCAAATAAATGACACAAACATAAGGTTAAAATTAGATACAGGGGCTGAGTCCAGCATTTTACCTTATTTCAAAAATCTGAACATTGAACAATCAAAAATTATACCAACATCAATGACGATTATTTCTCATGGTAACTTCAAGTCAAAACCATTGGGCTATATAACATTGAAATGTAAGACAGGGCAAGAATTGTATTCAAATTTTAAAGATATTTTTAAAGGATTAAGTTATATGCCAGGTTTAGTAGACATTAAATTAAAACAAAATGCTATACCTGTGATTCAGACACAAAGGGAAGTACCATTAGCATTACATGACAGATTTAAAAATGCTTTAGATGAGCTTGAAGAAAAGAGCATTATTTCCAAAGTAGACTATCCTACTGATTGGATAAACTCACTAATGATTGTTGAGAAACCTAATGGATCACTTCGCTTGTGTCTTGATCCAGAACCTCTTAATAAATATATCTGTAGAGAACACTATATTATTCCAAGATGTGATGACATTTTAGTCAAGTTAGAGGGAAAAACAATTTTTTCAGTTATTGGCATGAAAGATGGATTTTGGCAGGTACAATTAACTGAAAAAAGTTCAGATTCGGGTTGAGTTGAAAAACAGCTATATGCTGATACTTCGCCTTTTCGTCATTGCAGTTTGTGTCTGATTGTGTAAAATATTTTGTTATTTTGTTTATTGTTGTCCTGCAAATGATGAATAAAGACGTATTATTATTATTATTATTATTATTATAGATTTATGCACCATCAACAACCCCTTTGGAAGATATGAATTTCACAGAGTCCCATTTGGATTAAGTAGTATACCCGAAATTTTTCATAGAAAAACGGATAAATAGAAAGATGAAAACTGTAAAGTGATTACTCAAAAGAAACCTGTAATGGCAAATAACAAGTCTGTGGTAAGTGGATTGTGAGACAGCAGACAGATAGCGTGCTGTGTCTGAAAATTTCAAAATTTTTGTATTTTTGATTTTGGAATATGTGGAAATGAAGGGAAATACTGAAAAGATTGTAAATAATCAAAAATCAACAGAAATTCAATGAGTTGAAAAAGGGAATGCAATCAAATTGAATTTGGTCATTCAAGCATATGATATCAGGATTATTGAGTAATTTATTGATTTCAAAGATATCCAGAATATTAGGTTTTCTGCTTTTTGAACAAACATGTAACAAGTGAGAATCAATTTGTAA